AGAGGCTGCCCGAGGCTTCCCGTACTTGTCGGGGATCCCCAGCTGGTCTTGCTGTACTCAAAACGGGGTTCTCGCAACACAGGGTCTGGATTTGGGGAGGGGAAGCGGGCCTGGGGACTGAGGTGTGTGCAGTTCGGGCCCCGGTGCTCACGGGAAGTGCGAGGGACTAGGGGGGGGCTGTGGTTAGGGAGGAGGCTGGGGAGTGAGCTTGATTTCACTCCAGTGGTTGGCACTTCTCAAAGAAGTGGGGGTGCCCCGTTCAGAGGGCTATGCACGAGACCAGAAATCCTCTCCGTGTGACTCGCGAGGTCCTGCCCGCGTCCCTCCTTTAAATTCCAGGCTTTTAGGGGGTGTTGGGCTAACCGAATGACAGGTGCACACAGAACTGAGGGCTGGGGCTAGGCGTAGGGGCCTAGATCTTGCTGCTAAGAGAGGGGTGGGTTGGATCTGGGAACCCTTATGAGGAGCTGGGCTTGCCGGGAGGCAGTGGACTTCTTGTGCTGCGAAACCACTCACCCTTGAACCAAAGATCCTATCTCCACTAGTGCTTTCCCGGGTTCCCTGAACCAAAGTAGGCGTTATTTTCTGGCTAGAACCAGAGAAGCCCAAGCTTGGCATCTTGGGTCCAGACTAAGGCCCAGTGGAAGTGTGCTGAAGCCTCGACCTAGCCCAGCATAATTCTCTCTCAGAGAAACGGACAGGGGGTGGTCTGCAAAGAACAGAATTAACAAGAGCTGCTGTGCACAGCGAACACTCACCAATTCCATCCTCAGCACGCAGCCCGGCAGAAGGGCTCCCAGGCCACAGCAACTGTTTTTGTCACACAGGCCTGTTGGGTCCTCTGGAAATCAGGAGGAGACTTGAGGTGGGAGTAGGCAGCAGCTCTGGGGTTACAGGTGTTCCCTCTCTCCCCTGGATCAGAGTGGGCCAGGTGTGCCTTAGAAGGTGGGGATCCTACATCCAGCTGTGAGTGTTTGGAGAGGTTCCCAGCCCTGGTGAGTTGAGAGTCTTGCACCAGGCCCTCACACTCTTGCGGAAGTTTATGAGCTTTCCAGGATCCAGGGTAGGAAGAGACTTCAGGGCTGAGGAGGTCTGATCTGAATTCTCCAGGTCTTTAGAAAAAGTTCACACTGAAGGTAAATCAAGCCCCTTAAAGAAAGGACCTGTGCCTGAGAATCTGATCAGGAGGACCCAGTCCCCAGACCCAAACTTGGGAAATGTTGGAGTTCATCAAATTGAGCTCTAAGGCAGGTTCAGGTCTTAGCTCAGGTGACCACACTCTCACCTCTGCTCTTTGGGTGGCTACTATTGTACCTTTGTCTTCCTTACCTGTGTAAACACTCAGGTGGTGGTCACTGACTAAAGATCAGGGGGCCTGCCCACCTGCAGTGGGGCTGGTTAAGTGGCTGAAGTTTATCTGTTCAGGGTGCATCGCTGTATCATTTTCCAGAACCCCCGGGTCCCTCTCTAGACTCTAGGTCTCCCTCCCACCTGTTTAATTATTCTTAACCTCAGTGATTTCATCTATAAAATGGGAATAATAAGCCCTGTCCTATCTCAAAATGGACAATTAAGAGCAAGCAAAAAGACACATGTGAATGTGCTTGATAAGTAATTTAACTCTCAGGCTGCAGGTAAAAAAGGAACAGCTTTGCCCCTTTTTTGGTCCTAAAGCCCTCCGCTCTGCTTAGCACCCCTCTCGGTAGAAGCCCCTTGCCTGAGCTTCACAGAATTGGGTTGGGATGCGGTGACCGGGTGTTGAAATGTTTGGAACAACCATTGACAATCTTTTGCCAAAAACCATCCTCTCTAAGAAAGGAAGTTTGGGGTTTGGGTTGCACATCAAGTCAAGAAAAGGTGAACACCTTTGTGTGACGATCCCATGGAACTTGATATGGTGGCTGTCATGGATCAAAGGATGCTCGCCCAAGATAATGTGTCAACTTGGCTGGGCCAGGATTCTCATGAGCAGTTCTGCAATTATAATAAAATCAATTGTAAGGGGCTTAGCATACAGTGACCAGATTTAAAGCAGGACACCATTGACGGGGGTGGGGTGGGGGGATTCTTGATTAAACATTTGGTCTATGTGGACCAAATAGACCGTTCCCTAGCTTGTGCATTCTTTGCAAAAATCGAGACTTTTTAAAAACGCCAAAAATCGGACTGTCCCGCCAAAAGCGGGACATCTGGTCACCTTAGCTTAGCAGGGGATGTGATACCTTTAATCAGCGCATAGCCCTGGTCACCTGTATGGGGAGTTTTCTAAGGGTGTGGCCTACATCATCTTTTATCTTACAAGAGAAAAGGAGAGAGGAGCAAACAGAGAGTAGGGACCTACCACCATCAAGAAAGAGCTTGGAGTTTGTATCATCCCACTGATAGCCTTGTGTCTACAAGAATGTCACAGGCCCTGACACTTCCTCACTGCAGCGCCCTCCACCATGAAGCAGTTGGTACAGTCAGGTTTCAGCACAGTCCTGCCCCATTTAACTACCCTGGTTAGGAACCTTCATGACTGTCATCTCTGGGGGGTAGCTTCCACTCTGGTCAGCAAACATTTTTATTTGAGAAAGTTGGTCCTGCCCATGGTCTAACTTCTGTGCAGAAATTTATAGATCCATCATTGGTATTTTGGGGTTCGGGGGAGGCCAGAGAGATGAGTAGGGGTCAAGTTTAGAGGAGCTGGGGCAGGACTTGTGATGAGGATGTCTGGGAAGGGGCATACTTGGAGAGATACAAGGAGGGTGAAGGAAGTTGTCTACTGATACCTGCAACAAAGTATGTCCTTGCGCTGGTAATTGATTTATTACCTCAGCTCCAAATTTATCCTTTTTGCTAGATGTGATAGTTAGGTTTATTGTGCCAACTAGGCCAAAGGGAACATGTGAGCAGAGTTTGATCAGGCCTCAGCTTGATTGGAGGGGGACTGAGATAAATTAAGACAGCCAGCCTCCCAAATCTTTCTTGTTCCCTGGTGATTGGACCAGCGTGCTGTTGTTTTTAGCTAGTTCTCTGCCTCAACCTGTGTGCTACACTACCTGTGGGCCAAGCCAACCCATGGATCTTTTGCTAGAGCTTGAGGCTCTGTTGAAATCTGCTTCGCCACACTGCTGGGTGCTTACATCACTTGAGCTTGAGGCTGGTGGATCCTATCGCTGTGCATCCTTGAGCTCCAGATCCCATCAGGGCTGGATTTGCTAAGCTCCTGTGCTACTTGCTGACTGTTGCTGACCCACCTGCAGTCTGCTGCCTTCGGACAGACTGTGCCTGTCTTGCCTGAGGGAACACGCAGCTGTCTGCTTCCTTGACCTTGGACCTGGCAGCCCATGTGACTTGATGGACTTCCAGTATACTAACTGTTTCATGAAAATGAGCTGAACTGAGCCCTCTGTACTGCCGTGTGGATTGATTAGCTGTTATTTTCCTTCTCTCTGCATATACAGTGAACCCTCGTTTATCACGGTTAATCGGTTCTAGACCCTACC